GAGGTAATAAAACTTGATCACAGAAGTTATGTGAAAGGAATTAGATATCCTTCTGGGAGGTAATAAAACTTGATCACAGAAGTTATGTGAAAGGAATTAGATATCCTTCTGTGAGGTAATAAAACTTGATCACAGAAGTTATGTGAAAGGAATTAGATATCCTTCTGTGAGGTAATAAAACTTGTAAACAACCACCATACATTTCATAACTTTCCGGTGTAAAATAGTGAGATCAGTGCTGTGAGGAATTTTTCTGAAGTACTTTTCGTGTGTCTCACGCTAAAATCTTTCAATATGGCATGTATGAATCACATGTATAATGTGTTAAGTTGTATTTTTACGGGATATGACTATAACACAAATCATGGGTAAAACATCTTTTAAAAGTAAGTATCCTTAAGGGAGATAACTCTAACACAACCACATGTATATTGTGTTAAAAAGTACCTTAAGTGATATGACTTTATCACAAATCATGGATAAAATGTGTTAAGAAGGTTTCCTCAAGGGAGATGATTCAAGCACAGTCACAGATATAATGTGTTGAGTAGAAGATATTCTAAAGGGAGATAACTCTAACACAAATCACAAGATTTAGACTAATAGGTTAATTATCCTTTGGAACAACAAAAGATGACTGTCTTGTGTAATAGATCATGCATTGTTTCGTATTACCTTGTAACTATCAGTGTCAAGTCAGCTTTCTCCGACAGTATCAGTAGATTGACTACCCCACAGTAGGACAGTGACAGAGGGTAGGGAAACTTGTACGTGTGTGGAGAATCTTTGCCTTTTGGAAATTCCAGGATACAAGTTGATTTCTGAACGTCTGGAGGGTCACCAATCTGCTTGGATTTGAAGCATGGCTGAACCAGAGAATGAGATACCTAAGCAAAAAAAAGTACAAAATATTCTGGTAAATATTTGCATACATGTTTTAGAGCAAGCTGCTAACACAAGTAAATGACCATCTGACTAGAAAGTCTGGGATCGTGGGTTTGATCCCCAGCGAATACACATATCCTTTCCCTGCTTCTTTCCTATTACAGTTATGGAAACAAGATTAAGTGAACACAAGGATTTGTCTTTAAGATTCTTCAAGCAATATTTACTTCTTGTTATCTTGCTAAGTGACATACAAATTCCACCAAAATAATAGTACTTGGCAGATGTTTTATATAAAACACATCTGGATTGTATCAGCATAATAAACCCAACTGACTATAATATTCTATTTACCAAACTCTGCAAAATCAAATTTTCATTATTTACAATTTAAAAAATACAGGGCCAGACCTAGATTCAAACCTGGAGCCTAACCAAAAACCTCATAATTCTTGATGGATGCTCAACAAATAGAGCTACCTGGTAACAGGAAATCACCAGGCCAGTCCCAACACTAACTGATAGGTATTTCTCTGTCAACTTACAGTGAGGACCTTGATACAGTGGGTACACACTCCACAATAGGAACACAGATCTGTCCCGTGGTTACAGCGACAGTGCCTGGAAGGAGGAATCATTCTGTTAACTATATCATATAGTATAAACACATTTGTCTTATATTCTGATTTTTTCCCTGCATCGTCATTCATCATTTAAAATGTTCAAGACCCATGAGTGAGTCACAGGAAGATATCTTTGTTTAAAATTCAAATAAGATTCATTAACTTGTTGGTGAGGAGTTGTGTTATAGAGATCACACTTACTTGTTTGTGAGGAGTTGTGTTATAGAGATTACACTTACTTGTTGGTAAGGTGTTGTGTTATAGAGTACACACTTACTTGTTGGTGAGGAGTAGGGTTATAGAGAACACACCTACTTGTTAGTGAGGAGTTGTGTTATAGAGATCACACTAACTTGTTGGTGAGGTGTTGTGTTACAGAGATCACACTTTATAGAGAACACACTAACTTGTTGGTAAGGTGTTGTGTTATAGAGGGCACACTAACTTGTTGGGGAGGAGTTGTGTTATTGAGATCACACTTACTTGTTGCTGAGGAGTTGTGTTATGGAAATTACACTTACTTGTTGGTGGGGAGTTGTGTTATAGAGATCGCACTTACTTGTTGGTAAGGTGTTGTGTTATAGAAATTACACTTACTTGTTGGTAAGGTGTTGTGTTATAGAGAACACACTTACTTGTTGGTGAGGTGTTGTGCTATAGAGAACACACGTACTTGTTGGTGAGGAGTTGTGTTATAAAGAACACACTAACTTGTTGGTGAGGTGTTGTGTTATAGAGAACACACTTACTTGTTGGTGAGGAGTTGTG